GATCCTCGATCTAAGATAATTCTATCTAGTAGTCTATATTATAATTCTATTTTATTATAGAATAATTCTATAAGTTCTATAGCGTTAATAGTTATTAGTATAATAAAGAATAGGGACTATTTTATTAATTTATCGATAATAACTAATATTATATTAAATTTTTAGGTTCTATTTTTATTTAGTAGTAATCTTATAATAAAGTCTATTAATAATTCGCTAAAAGACTATAATAATATTAGTAACGATTCTAGTTTACTATATAGGCGATACCTTAGTATTATTATTCCTTAATATATTATATATATTTAGATATATTCTTTTACGTTATTCTAAAGTCTAATCTAATAAAACTTCCTTAGTAGTATTTCGGTCCTATTTCGCCTAAAATAGCTTATTAAGAGATTATTATAATAAATATTTAGTAGCTTCTTTCTAAGATTCTTTTTTATTAGGATAAATAGTCGATTCTTAAATTAAAAAAGGCTTTTAGGGCTAATACCCTAATTCTTAAAGCCTTTAGATATCTAATTTAATATAGCTTTTAGCCTTTATATCTTTAGATCCTTATTTTAGATCTATTTAATTATTATCTATAATTTAGTACTAGCTTCTGCTAAATAAATATACTTTTTTTATAAATATCCTATATCTTATATTAAGATATTCTTTTATTTTTTATAAGTTTTTTCTAGATAGTCTAGTTAGCTACTTCTATATTAATAAACTCTTTTCTATTTTCTACTATATAAATACTAAACTAAGGATTATTTTCCTCTAAAAATATCTTATTAAGTTTAAACTAAGATTTCTTAGCGATAAGATCTATAACTATAATTATTTAAATACTAGCTTTCTATAGATTAGATAGTAACTCTCTAGTTATAATCTATTCTTATAATAATATAAGTAATTCTTTTCCTAGAGTATCCCTCTAAATAGAATTAGGTTTTTTTAAGAGTCTATCTATAGGATTATTTTTTCCTAATTAGTATTTAATTATAAAATTAAATAGTATAAGATATATATATTAATATATTTATCTTCTATTTAGCTTAGTTTATTTTATAAAAGATTAAAGGTTTAAATAATCTAATAATACTTTAATAGTAAATTAGCTATCTTCTAAATACTATCTCTAATATTTAAAGAAGTATATAATTATAAAAAGTTCTTAGTCTAGTATACTATAATTTAACTCTACTCTAGAGAATAATTTTAACTAAAAAATAACTAGATAATATTAATTTTAGTTATCTAGCTAAAAGAGGATATTAGTTATTCCTTAATTTAATATATCTATTTTAATATATATTTAGTATTAAAGGTTAAAGTATTATAATAAAGATATATTATAAAAGGCTACGATTAGATATTAAAACGCTATCTTTTTATAAAATATAAATTAGTAATTTCTAAGTTTTTTGCTATTCTTACTCTCTTTAAGTAATATAGTTAAAGATACTATAATATAAAAGAAATTATAAATAAATTATTAATAGAAGTTATAGAATCTAATAAAGATTTAGATATTATAGTAGCTTTTAGGTTCTAGCTATAAAATAATAGTATTAACCTATTATTAGTCTATTAATATACTATCTTAGTCTATAATAAATCTAAGGAATTCTATTTTTCTTTAGTAAAATATATAATTTAAAGGTTTTATATAAAGTCCTACTTCTTTTATTCTTTTAAGGATTTAGTGGATATAATAAATATATAACTCACGGTCTAAGGAGAATATTAAAATATTATCTAAATACGTAATATAGGAGATATTAAAAAATCCCTATAAAGTAATATAAATATAATTCTAAAAGATAATAAGAGCGTTAGTTAAGCTAAATAGTATAAATATATATTTAAAGTAACTATAATATATATAAAATATAATTTTCTATTCTTTGCCCTCTTAAATATAAATATAGTAATAGATATCCTAGATATCGATCTTACTAAAGTATTTTATTTCTAAAAGTTAATCTAAAATCTCTAAAATAAAAGATAAAAAATATTAATTTTTTACTATAACCTTATTAAGTCCCTAATAATCTATATAGAGATATAATCCTTTATCTTTCTTTAGAATAAAAAGGATTAGTGCTTTAATAGGACTTTTTAAGGGTCTAATCCTTCTATTTATAAGATTTTTATTAATATAGATTTATAATATCTATAATTTATTTTATAATAAAGGGTATATTAGCCTATAAAATAGGGAATAGTTATTTTCTAGCTTAATAGTATAATCCTATAAATTATTAGATAGAAGGATTTATAATTACTTTATTAAGAAGATATTAATAAATTAATATAGTTCCGGTAGTATTTCTGAAAGATAGATAGTTAGTTCTTTATTTTTTTTATAGAGTAACTAGACTTCTTCTAGAAGTTTTATAATAATATAAATAATAATATATTTTTAATATTCTTTCGCGAGTTCCTAAGCTAGTTTTAACTTAATTTTAGTAGCTTTAAACTATTAACTTTAGTTTTATAGTAAAATATAGATATAATATTTTATAAATATTATTATTAAAAATAAGATTAGACTTCTTTATTTATAAAGATATCTATTAATTATAAGATAAAGATAAACTATTAATTTAGTAGTTCCTCGAGAATCAGTAAATATAATAGATATCTTCTATATACTATATAAAAAGGTTCCTCGATTATCTATTATTCTAAATAGTATTAATAATAGCTTTATTTTTTATAATTTATATTTTTCTACGAATTTAATACTAATAATATTAATCTTAATATAGGTATCTATATCTATATATATTTTAACTTTATTCTATAGTAATACTAGAATATAAAAATAAGTTATAGTTCTTATTTAAAATAATATAGTTAGCTATATAGGATTTAGATTAATTTGTTATTATTTTCTAACTTAATCTAAGTAACTATTTATATACTAATCTTTTTATTTAATTTATTAAGGCACTAATTAGTAAGATAGGTTTTATTTTAATAAATATAATATTAGAGGGTTTTCTTATCTTTTTTAATTAGGTTTTTTTTATTTTCTTAGATCCTTCTTTTAGATCTCTAATGTTTATAGTTTAATTAATACTAATTTATCCAAAATTACTTATTTATAAGTCCTTTAAAGGTTTTAGGGCTTTTTCGTTTTTATATTAATTATAGTAACCCCTAGTAATAAATAGCTAAGGACACTATCCTATCTTAGTTTTTAGATAGCTTATATATATATTCTTATATATATTATCTAAGACTATAGATAAATTTTAAGAATATTATAAATACTTTCTTTTTTTATTTTAGCGAGAGAAGTATTATTTTAATAAACCTAAAAAAGTATAAAACTCTCGTAGATCCTATTTTAGGCGTTAATAGGCTTTTTATAGTTATCCTATAATATTAATTTTAAGAGTTATAATATCTTTAATAAGAGAGAGAGTCTAATTTTTAAAATAAACCTACGAAGTATTAATATTTTATTATTCTTTTTTAGGTTTCTCGGTAATATACCGATACTATCTCTATCGGTAAATAGATTCTATATATAATAAAGCTATAATAATTTATTATTCCTTATTATAATATTTCTATAACGCTCCTTTAAAAATAAAAGAGAGATCTAAAAGCTACTTTTCTCTTTACTAAAAAAAGGAATAAATTAAGAATATTAGAATATTTCGAATCCTAATCTCGTCTTTATCTTCTATAAGAGATAAACCTTAGTTTTATTATTAATTTATTAAGGATTTAGTAATATTCTTTTATTCGATCTAACTTCTTATTTATTAAGCTATTTATTATAATTCTTATAGATATTAAAGTTTTTCGATTATTTCTTAGATAGTCTATATTTCTTTATCTAATTAAGTCTAGTTAGTTTCCGATAGAGGGGTTTATAATATCTCTTCGGGAGTATTACTCCGATATATTATAATAGATTAGATCTATAAGGTTATCCTATTTCTTTAGATAATTAAAGAGGAAGATTCAGAATTATAAAAAATATATTTATTAGAGTATAAGGCCTATTAATTAAGTAAAGAAATAAAAGAAAAGAGTAGAAGAAATAGTATATCTTTATTACTATTAAGACTAAATCTTATCTTACTAGCTAGATACAGGAGTATTAATTTATTATATAGTATCTTCGTAACTCTATATATTATCGATAATATAAATAACTAAGTCCCTATTATATATCGTGATTATTCTACTATAAGGTGGATCAAGCAACAAGTTCCGACTTCCTTTAGGATCATATAATATCACCTGATTCACCCCTTCCGTCAGTTGGGAATAACTTCATGCCTTGCCATCTTGGTAGACCCTTTATAAGTATACTTTAAATAATCTCCGAACTTCCTGGTCTACTAGGGCGACACTCTTATATATCTATATATTCCACTGATAAAACTAAATTTATGGTTATTCCTGTATTTAGGAAGCTATTAAATCTCCTTCTCAAAAGACTCTATATACAATAGATCTCTAGCTAGTTTATCGCTCTCTATAGCCCTTTAGAAAAGTATAGTAGCGACTATACTAACGCTCCTACTACGTTATAAGAAGCTCCTCGAAATAGGAGGCCACTTACTCGCGTCACGTAATACTATCTCTACGTTTGGCTCGTTCGGGACCATATACCCTTAGAGATAGGTAAAGATATAGTTGCAGAGGTTCATAAGTCTATTTCTTATAGACTTATTAGTCTTTAGGTTATTCTGCACACGACGAGGAAGGAATATAAGAAAAGTGCGATTGTCTTTAAGCTAAGACTCTCTATCCTCGATATCTTCACAAAGGAAATCCGACTATATATTAGCCTGACATTCCAGAGCAAAAACGTATACGTGGACTCAGAAATCCTGAGATACATTGCCCACATGTACATCCATACTTGAGGCGTAGCCAATCGATGTCGGTTACCTTAGTACCGCCATTTAGAAAGATCAGGCAGTCAACAGCAGTACCCCCGAATCCAACAAAATGATCTGAAATATCTTCAGTCAACGCATTAAAGCGACGTTAGTCCTGCTGTCCTCGAGTTTTGCCAGCAGAGCATCCAATGGAGTTTCACCTTGGATATTGCGCTGTTGAAGAAGCACTTTTGATCGGCTCAGGATCCATCGGACACTGTTGGGCTTGATTTTGGCTGCGGTAAGGTGCAAAACACTGTTTCCATTTGCGTCTGTAGATGTCCATCGCGGGTCATCCTCGGCAGCGTCTTTGAAGACCTGGTAAAGGACTTCCACACAGTCGTTGTCGGTGGACTCCAGTGCCATTTTCAGGCTACGCTCCACTTCAGGATCCAGCACGCTGAATTGCACTGCTGGAATCTCGAAGTCGTCGTCAGCTGCTAGATGATAGCATAGGTGTTCTGGGTCCGAGGCGAGCCCAAACCACGAAGACGAGCTGATTCGCCGAAAGCCCAACGATCGCCAGAAAGATTTCGAAATGTCCCTAGCAGCCGATTCCAATGATTCCTTGTTGGACACTTCTTCGCCGCTAGGCTCACATAGCGCTTCACTCGAGAGAATGTCAGGGCGTGCAATAGCCACAAACCCTAGAGTTTTCTCTCTGGCTTTTTCTAACATGGCCCCAACAAGCATACTAGCTTATCCAAGGCGTCTGTATTGCTCGTCGACTTTTAGAGATTCAATCAAAAAAATGTCACCGTTGTTGAGCTCAGCGCTCCAAATTCCAGAGCCTTTCTTGACTGCATGGCTCTTGAACTCAGGCTTCAAGCAGCCATATCTGTCCATGATGTCGAATGCAAGTAGACACATTTCCTCCGATGGTTGCTCCATAGCGTACCGAAACTGGGAGCGGATTTTCTCACGTCTGATCAACTTGCCATCACAATAGCCAACCTGTATCCCATCCGAGCCGCGATTGCCTTCGTCAAGGATGAGTCCATCAATCTGCTCTAGCCATTCGAATTCAGCAAAAATGTCGTTTTCAGAGCAACTGGTGAACGAGATGTCGTCCGAACCATCATCGGGGCTTTCATAGGAGGCGTCCACTGGCAAATCCTCATTCATGCGACGGATGTAATATTCAGGGGATGGGGTTGGTCTCGGATCATTGCGACTAGCCTTCGATGCAGAACGCAGCCGGACTTCGATCTTCAGGTTTCTTGCCAGTGAGTTCTGCATGGCTTCAACCTAAGAGGCTCGCGTGTACTAGAGAAATTGGAGATTATTGGAGATTGTGGTTGAAGGAAGAGGCGCGATGACCAGAAGAGCACTTCTGAGCGAGGTGATCTCACCTACTGGGCCGAGAACCCCATTTATAAAACCAACGACGCAGAAAATGGTGGGAATCAATTGGCTCCGAAATTAGACTGACTTGGGTCTGGCGGCTCCATCCCGAGGCTTAGCGCCGTAGCCAACTCTGCCAGGAACTACTCTATGCACAATGACGCACATGTCTAGAATTATCCTCGGAAGCTAATAATTTGGTGCCACGTAATGGTCGGCGCCGAGGACTTGCTTTGATGCTCAGAAACCACAGAGTTACGGAGATTGGGTGGCAGAATTTTTCAGACAAAGGGAGGATGAGAGAATCAGATTTCTATAGCGCTATATAGTGGAGTGGGGGTGTTTGATTCTTTGTTCTTGCTGCGATCAATCATGGTTTGTGGTCCTTAGGGTGTTTGGCGGGACTCAATAGGCCAATATGGTCCTTCCGGGGGGCCACCGGACTTCACTATTGGGACCACAGAGAGCTGCTGACATCCAATGAACATCACTGTAGAGACCTGCTCCTACAGAGCATAGAAATTGAATGCAATTATAAATACAAACGTTAGAAATATATGACGGGGATCTTTCAATTTCTGAACACACAGAAGAAACGGCAATTCCCTTTCTCCAATAGAAGGGTAATCGTGCTCAACAGAAACTGTGGTCTTCGCGTTACGAAAAAAGGATGCAAGTTGGCGACGCGCCCACGAACCCCACTTCCAGGCCATTATTGCGTGATCGACGATCCGTTTCAGGTATGAATAGAGTGGGACGTATCTGCGACACTTCTTAGGCAAGTCTGAAACAAATCGATTAACGCAGTCTGACCCTTCCAGTCCTGCTGGCCTTCCAGCCCCACATGACTGCGATCGATCCGTTTCAGTCACGAATCGAGTGGTTGCATCTGCGACACCAGTTTTGAGCCAGACTGAAACAACTCGATTAAGTCCTGCCAGCCGACGTAGTTTTCTACACGTGCCACCAGCGCTGACGTACAATACCACCCTCGCTCTTTGATTGATTCTCAGGCCTAAACCGTTATCGCCAAGGACAACCTTGCCTTACGATTCAATCCAGACATCATGCGGAGGGCAATGATATGAATACTTATTGCATTTAGAGGTTACATGGAAAGTCAATAAGAATAACTCCCTGTTTGATTAATTTGTTTGAACCTGGGAGTTTTTGGGACCATAATACTGGACCTGGCCAATATAACAGAGATTTCTTGGGAGTGCATGTTTTCACTAGTTTAAGATTGTCTAGGACAATCTCTCTAAGGTTTCCTTACCTTTTTCATCTAGATTTGGGTACTGTCTTAGATTACACATGTCCACCCAGAATGCCTTGGCATTTTCGTGCGCCTCGCCATGTGCGTCCAAACGCTCCCGGAGCAACCTTTTCTATTCTATATCCATTTCTGTAAACCCAAAAGAGGCCGAAACATACTCATACTAAATAGGGAAGAAGGCAGCGTATTCCCAATCAAGTATACCGACAACCTTTCCGTCTTGAACCATGATGTTTCCCAAATTGAGATCGCAATGAGTAAATACATAGGGTTCACACTTCGGTAGCCGCTTCTTTAAGTTCTCCAAAACTTGTTGAGGGAGGTAGCGAAGGTTAAGGGCCAGAGTATCCCAGAGCTCTTGATCGGAGTGAAACGGTCTACGGGGCTCAAGATCGAAAAATAATAAGCCTGGATAGCATGGGCTTTGATCGACACACTGAATAGAGGTCGACGAGACGGATCGAAGCTGCTTTCTCACTTTCACGACTTGATCCGCGATATCTATTTTTTGAGGCTCTGACAAAGAAGTCCATGCCTCCTCAAGCGTCTGGCTATCGATGCGTTCGTTCAAAACGAAGTACCGCCCATCTCGATCGACCTAGTCATGCAAAACCTTCGGGATGGGAATATTGGTATGGGTCGCTAAATATTTCAATGTTTTGACTTCAACTTTTGCTTTTGGACCCTCGTCGGGTCTATCTTTCAGAATTACATCTGATCCGATGGTCCACACACCCCGTGTAGATGCACCGTAGAAGAGTTTGAGGTGGCTTGTATAATGGCACCGCCTTTCTTTGTCAAGTGTCCAGCCGCACGCGACACAACTTTTGTCAAGCGGTTCACCCATTATGGATAGTTTGTAGGAGGTCAATTTGTTGTAAGGGGTAAGGTTTTGACTGAGGTCTGAAAGCGAAAGTGAAAAAGAAAAATAATTTCCAGGTGGAAAGCCCCTCGCTTATATTCAAGGGACTGACCGCCATTGAACTAGCGGAAACCCGCCCCCTCTCTCCCCTCTCCAGCCAATAGGTTTTTGATCTTGTGAACTGCAGTTGGCTCTACATACTATTAGATATTAATATCAGACATGATCTATTTTACGTCAGACTCGTTCAGCCGCCAAAGACTCTTGGAGGGTAGGCCATCCAGAATAAGAAGCAAGCAGCCAAGAGAGCAAGACCTCGATGGAGACACGTCTAAGCGCTGCCTGGCGGCACCTACACAGGAGTTATTTGTGTGCATATGCAGAATCACAGTGGCGCGTGATAAACCTGCATGAAGTGCACAGTATCACACCAGCTAATGCGGCTTCTATCACCGGATCATACTCCAGATTGAGGCTCAAATAGATCTTACCCCGCATCCATATTCTATAAGTTGGCATTATTGGCACTCGAATTTTTCTCCTATTCCTCACGACCACAACTTAGCGCTCAACCAGTCAAAGCCACAGAAAACTACTTCATTTGCAAAGATGAATTGTCCAAAGTACGGATACAATCATATCTCTCAGCCTTTCCCATTCGCTTGCTCTCAATGTGGTGCGCAGGTCCCAGGGGCTCAATAATGTCAGACATCCTCAATGAAACTCTCGAAAGCTAAACTAATTATTGATATAGGTTCCCCCTCGTCGCCCTGTCAATGTCACCAATCTCTCACCATCCACTAAATCTCATATGTGCAGATTTTTGGGTGGATTACTTGGCCGTGATGGTGCTGAGCAGTGTGGAATGAGCCAAATCGGTTTTAGATTCTAAAAGCATGGTTGGTGGTATACCACGAGGGATTCCATCTAAGGGCCTAAAAAACATGGTAGACCCTTTTGATGGTGATGATGATGATGTTGTTGTTGTTGCTCTTGTTCCTGATGCTGTTGAGAGTATTCATTTAACATGATTGGATGAATTGATTTGCAACTTTGCTAAGTATCTGTTTTCGTGTACTTTCTTGAGAGTGGCCGCGTCGTTATGTTGGCAGACCATGATTCTCGACGTGTTATTTTAAGGTAACAATATTACTCTCGGCTTATAATATTATGATTGGTTGTAGAGTATTTATTATCTTGGCTAAGTCTACGGCCCTTCTAGAGCTCGGGAGGAAGAGAATCTTGGTAGATCTAATAAGATAGATTGCGTAAATTTTCAAGGAATAAGTAAAAACTTAATATAGGTATTCTAGAGTACGACGCTCAAGAAACGAAAGACTATCCTTTATTATTGACCGCCAATATCTAGGATAACTACACCAGAAAACTTTAAACTAGCCGCTAACCTAGATACTACTTAGCTATACACTAAACGTGGAACCGTTTACTCCGGATCCATTACTACCATCCTTTGGTTTATAAGACTTCTAGCGATATTTAGGACAGATATTATGACGGTTTGTACTCGAGGTTTTTGTTGTGTCTCGGATCGGATCGTAAAAAGTTGGTGATATGCGGCCAAGAGCCTTAGTACATATGTGGCGAGTAGAAGTCGGGGGAAGATTTACTCGATACTTACATCTTGAAAAGTATACCGGTGCGGGGTGTTCCCACTAGCATATCTTAAGGGCAAATAGCAAAGGGTGATTCTAAATCCTAAAAGCAGGATAAGTAGGAGGATTCGGCGGCTAACTAGATACACGTACAAAAAGAGATGTTTTTGGTCTGCAATAAACCATAAGGAATTGTATCTGGAAGTTGGTCGATATTTATGCTCGAGAGGGGTAGGTAAGCCACTTTCAGATTGACAGAAATTACTGATTACTTATTCAGAAATTTGGCAAAAATATGCATGAGGATCGACGTATCCTGGGATTGTCGAAGAATTTTACTAGAGGATCGCAGCATTAGAGCAGATACCAGCTGCATACAAGGGAAGGTTCCTTATTTTATCGTTGATCAAAGCACTCGAAAGATAAATGTCCATCATGCAATTTTTCATATCAACAAGATAGATCTTTGACGGAAGGATGGTGCCTATTAGGAGAGAATTGTAGGTCTACTTTACTCCCTTGATGTAAGCGTTCACGAGAGCCATAGCTGACAGCCTAAGGAGCTGTGTAGATAAGAGCGGTAACAAACTTTTAGCTTAGAGAAAGAAAAACCGGTTTGTAAAGGGGAGAGGGAGTGAAGTTTGTTTAGGGGTTCCGTTTGTTTTGCCTCGTTTACATAGGTATATTCTTGGAGGACCAATAAGGGGCTTACACTACGACCTATAAAACAGTCGTTCAGTAGGCTGGCGACCACTAAGTGATATATTAGAGCGAACTATATTAGGCAGGGTAATTAATTATTATAAAGTCCTATTAATTCTAACAAGGAATAATAACGCTCGTATAAATACAAGTTAGGGAACCAAAATAGTATCTAAAATCATAAACCTAGACTATATAATAAAAAATGGGCCTCTTTATTCAAAGCATCTATACTCGTATATTCTCCTCGCCAGTACTTCTTAATAATATATCCATAAAATAGCTTGTCCGTCTTTAGAAGGGCTTGCGGTTTCGGCAAGTACAAATTCTCCGGGTCAAAAAAGTAATATTTATAAACCTACTAGGCAGTAATTGAGTAGATGATCTAAGATAGAGGATTTCGATCCTTGTAGTTAAATCGTTTTTATATATAGTGTTTACATCGGCCGAGATTAGTAGCAAAATAGACTAACCAAAGTCTACAAGTTTAAGTTAATCCTCGATAGACATGGACAGACCTGTCCCATGGGTCAAAGATCTTGACCTATGACCTAAACCCACGACCTATAGGTCGGGTCAATAAAATCCTGACCTGTCTATAGGTTGACCTACGGGTTAATAGGTTAACCTATTTTTGACCTATTTTAGTATAAATTTCTTAATTAGGATAGATAATTTATTTACTTTTTTTAATAATATACTATTATTAAATACTATTTTTATTCTAATATAACTTATAATTATAACTCTTTATAAAAAGAATATTATATAGTAATAATATATTTAGAATATATAATATATTAATTTATTAATTTAATACTTTAAGATAAGAATTATATTTTATAATAGATAGATATAAACGAAAGAAGATATTAATTAACCCTTTCTTATACTAAACCTAAAAATATATATTTAAAGTCTATAATAGTATTACTATTTTTTATATAAATAAACTATATATATTAGAAATAATAAAATAGATATAAATCTAATACCTAATATTTCTTTATTAATATATAAGTATATTATAGTCTTAATTATATAAAAGAATTATTTTAAATATTTTTTCTAGATTTATATAAAATAACAATATTAGCTAGTTAGGTTAAAATTTTTTAGGGATAAAAAGAAAATTCTTAGGGTATTACTCTTACCTAATTATTTAGGTTAACGGGTTAGTCTATAGATTAACCTATTAATCTATTTCTTACTATCTAATAAACTTTATATATATTAGTAAAGCCTATTCTAATTAGTTATAAAATTTAGTACTAGGATAGTACTAAACTAAATTCTATCTACTAATAAAAAATAAGTATTAGATCTATATATTCCCCTAAATCTACAATAATTTACCTTAGATTATTTTTCTATATCTTAAGTCTCTTACTATAAAAGGGTTATATAGTCCCTTTTTTATTAGATATAATAAAATATATATCTTTTTATAATAGTCTTTCTATCTCTATTAGAACTAGGGTTTTAATCTATTTATGTAATTACTTAAAACCCTAGTTTTAATCTATCTACGCGTTTATTTATAGCCCTAGTTCTAATAATCTATATAAAAAGATTAGTTAATTAGGTTAAAGTTTTTTAGGGATAAAAAGAAAAATCTTAGGGTATTACTCTTATCTAATTATTTAGATTAATAGATTAATCTATAGACTAATCTATTAATCTATTTCTTACTATTTAATAAGCTTTATATATATTAGTAGAGTATCTTTTAATTAATTATAAAATTTAGTACTAGGATAGTACTAAATCCTATCTACTAATAAAAAATAAATATTAGATCTTTATATTCCCCTAAATCTATAATAATTTATTTTAGATTATTTTTCTATATCTTAAGTCCTTTATTTTAATATACTATTACTATATCTTTTTTATATCTTAGTTATCTATCTTATACCCTCTCTCTCTTATTAAGAGTAAAGGGTTTAAGTTATCTATTTTCTATTTTAATTAATTTCTCGATATCCTTTTAGAACTACTAAAAAGCTAATAAACTAAGTAAAGCCTCTCTTCTATTATATTATTAATACTAAAACAGTCTAATAATCAGAAAAAGATCTAGGTAATTTTTAATAGTATAAATAAAGCAGAATTTTTAAACTAGTAGTTTAATACCTAAATTAGTAGTTTTTATAATATTATAAAAAAAATAAACTAAAAAGATCTATAATAGACTAATATATAGTTATATTTTAATTAAGTTATATATTTAATAATAAGAGAGCTAAAGCTTCTATATAAATAATATAGTAAAATTATAGATTATCTAGTCTATACTAAAAATAGGATAATAGATCTTTAATATTACTAGAATTAGAGTATATACTAGAAAGGCTAAAATATTACTAAATATTTAATAATCTAATATCTTATAGAATATATAGTATATTATATAGCTATTATTTAATTTATAGGCTAATCTTTCTTAGATTAAGAATTCCCCTCGAATAGCCTAATTAGTTATTTAAGAGCTATAAAAGTAATAGTTAATTATTATAATAACTATCTTATAGCTTCTTTTTTAAATTATTAAGTATCCTAAATTCTAAGCCTTTTTTTAAATAATCTAATTATTATTATTTATCCCTAGTTTCCTTTCTTATTAAATTATATAGTATCGAATCTAAGAAATAATTAAATATTAATAGAAAGATTTATTTTAGAAGCTTTTATTTAAGATTAAGCTCTCTATTAGTCTTAACTATTAGATATTACTATTTTAATAAATATTTATAGCTATCTCTAGCTATTTTATTAATATAGACTAGAATTATTAAGAGGT